TCCGGCCTCAAACTGGGCAATGTTTTGGAAGCTTTCGTCTGTGAAATGCCGGTTCTTCGAACCTCTGGAGGAGGAACACGCCGCTGCTGGTGTGGCCATAGCTCTTCGGGATTGGTCCATTTCGTTCCGGGTACCGCATGACATCAGGCGGTACCCGGAACTAAATGGAAGACTCAAATGGGCAGTGACGTATCTCCAACGAGGCGTTTTGGGGAGGTATTTTCTGTGTTAGAGTTTTACTCGCTACAGGGTGTACTTTGAGGGTTTTGACTCTGCACACCGTTTACATGCATAAAAACCTTCATAACACACAAGGGGACGGGTAATAACCGGAAAAGCATGACATGGGAGCTTTAAGCATTGTGTTTTGACAATAGGTTAATAGGTATTTGCTTCTATAGGATCTTCAAGTAAGGTATAGGCTTATTTGTGTCTGAGTTAAATGTATTTGGAAAAACTGAAAAAAGTAAGAGGAATCCATGGAGTTGCGTATTAGAATTATTTGGTTATAAAGTGGAATTGTGTCATTGTCGAATCAATAGGGAAATATAGTTAAAGAAAAACAGGGTGTGTTGTACTGGGTCAAATTGTTTGTGATGTGAATGTAATAAATCAGGTTCTCTTCCAGGATAGGACATGTAGGCAAGTCGAATAAGAATGTCCAACTCTTTGGTATTGTCTTGCAGTCTGAAAAGCATTCAAGGCACCGTAGTGTATGTTAAAATCCTAGTTATCTTTGTATCAAAAATGATTTTCACTTGGCCTAAAAAAAAAGTGAGTGCCTCATATGCTTGGCTGCCTCAGCACATTAAATTAATTAAAGAAAGCTTTCATTATTTTACTATGTGACATTTTGATAATGCCATGGTCTGTGTGGTGACGTTCAGCTGTACCCAGTTTTAAAAATGATGTCAGCCATTAAATGATATTCTCTCTCGGACACATAGGTCAAAGTCGAGTATTGTAACAATCATGTGAGCATTGGTTTCAAGGGGACCTATCATGCAAAATGCACTTTTGTACGTCTTTTCTACATGAATATGTGTCCCCGGTGTTCCAGGGAACTCACCAAGTGTCAGAAAACACAACCCTCTCTATTTTCCTCCATACCCAAATCTCTAAAAAAGGGGCTGCAACGGATCTGATAAAAACTGATCCAGATTTGAACACTTTACTGACGTCAGGAAAGTGGCGCTACGGCTATTGGGCCAACTCCACCAATCAGGAGGAGACAGCCACGGCCATTGCCGTTCGAAAGTGCTGGAGACGCTGTAGTACATATGCCAGGCCTGTAAGTGGCGCTGTAGTCTGCCCCAAAAGCAGCGAAGAAGACTTGGTTGCCCTATTACTGTAAAGCGACCTTGGGTCCCTTGAAAGGCGCTATATAAATGCAAGCTATTATTATTATTATTACCATGGTTACCCTTCTGTTTATTCTCCGCTGTGGCTTTCTTTCTCCCTCCCCGAGGCAAGCGTTTGCTCCCGCTGCAATGCAATCCCTCCCCGTCGAGGCAAGCACTGTAATTCTCTCCGGTTAGTCCACCAGCAGATGACAAACACCCACCTCTCCGCCTCTTCCAAGGAACGAGGGGACCGTGCAGCAGAGTTTCAGTTTCAGTTACTTTCGCCGGTCAAGATGTCCGTTAAAGTTTAAGGCCCAGGCTCCACGGGAACGCATACGGCAAAACGCATAGGATTAACGCAAACGCAAACGCCAAAAAGCTTCCGTCCACATGCAATATACACCGGATTGTGTCTTGTTACACGAGACAGCTCCGTTTACATCCAACCGCTGGAAAAGCTGCAGTACATATGCCGAGCCTGTACGTGGCGCTGTAACTTCCTCCACAAAAGCAGCAACTTCCTCCACAAAAGCAGCGAAGAAGAATGGTTGTCATGGCTGCACTTCTGTTTATTCTCCGCGGTGGGGGCCGAGGGAACCGGGCAGAGTTTTTCGCCGGTCAACGTGTGTTAAAGTTTAAATCTTCCGGACAAAATTATAAAAGTGCCGGTCAAAGGTCTTCTTTGTTATTTATTGAGCTTTAAAACAAATGAATAACGACGATATAATGATATATAATAATAAAATACACGGAGCCTGTCTCTTTTTCCTCTCTTCTGACAGCGTCAGTGTCTGTCTCATGCAGCAGCTGATCCTGTAATGAGTGACCCGACAGTAAAAATAAACATATTTATAACTAGTTTAGGTAGTTTGAGAGGTAATTAAAATAGCTAAGGGTGATGATCTGACTTGAAGTGTGTGTTTTGCTCCCGCTGCATCACAGCGGGAGGAGCTGCGTGTCTCCGTCCTGTCAGATTAGACTTCACTCGCGTTTATGTCCATATCGAGATAAAGATAAATAATCTGAATTCAGTGTGCAGTGTACTTTTGCGGGGGTGAGCAGCAGAGGTGGGGGGAGGCGGGGCTATTGCGTCATCATTATCAGAAAAGGATGACCGTATAGGCGACCACACGGCCCCGTTGGACCCCCCAGAGCGCTCCGTTCCCAGATTTATCCACCTTTGGACCCGTTGTCGTTTGCAGGGTCCGTTTCTACCGTTACGTTACGGTGTCGTGTAGCTTAAAGGGCTATACGCAAGAGAAATATGCGGATACAACCCGTTTTCGTTCCCGTGGAGCCTAGGCCTAAATCTTCCGGACAAAATTAGAAAAGTGCCGGTCAAAGGTCTTCTTTGTTATTTATTGAGCTTTAAAACAAATGAATAACGACTCTATATAATAAAACACGGACGACGGAGATCTCTTTTTCTCCCCCTCTTCTGACAGCCCAGCAGCTGATCAGGGGCCTCATTTATAACGCCTTGCGTAGGATTGACGTGAGAAGGTTGCTTACGTGGTACAAAGCAAAAAAATAGGTACAGAAATGTTCCGACATTTTCCGATTCACAAAACATTGCGTACCGGCGAGGGAAGTGCGTACCGGCACTTCCTACGCCTGTTTCCCTTTATAAATCACAATCGACTCGAAATGCGGCGCAGCTTTTGCAGGCTTCACGTAACGCCCATATTTGCCTATAAATAGTCAAAGAAACGCCCATTCATTCATTCATTTTGACTGACTGCATCAAGAAGATCGCAGGAAATTAACAGCTAAAAAAGACATCTCACACCGTGTCAGAGTTTGGTTATTTTGGGGAGGTTGAGATAAATCATATTGTTTGGTGGATGCAGTTTGAACCAGAGTAGCAGCATGGAGGTCGGATCGTCACCAAAATAAATAAATAAGTGGTCCGAAAAAAGTTAATGACAAAAAAAATACACATAACCTTCCTCATGCAGTGTGTTTGTCCCGGGGACAGGAGACACCCCCTTGATGAGAAACTGTAAGAAATGATCGGGGAATCCCTCCGGAGTGGAGTCATGACGACTGGATCTGAATTATTTTGTTGTATTTGGTGGTTTGTGTTCCAGCTGTCGATCAGCAACTATATATCCATAATCCACCAGTTAAAGGAAATACAACTAATGGATTGTGTTATATTAGCTGTACAATTTACCACATAGGTGTTCTTAGTTTCCATACCTCCTGTGTTTTACGAGCGACTTATCAAGTCTTGGCAAACGGCATAAAACACGATTAAACGTGATAGTATATAAAACCATGCTCGTATCTACAACCTATAGAAATGCAAAACGGCGTCAGTTTAGACGTAATTCTGTCCTCCTGCTTACCGCATCATTTATGAGAAAACATTTCATAACATTAACACAACATATTCGAGGTGGTTTTAAATAACATATCCGTATTTATTTATTTATTTCTCCAAGTTATGTTTTTGTGTGCACTGAGGAGTCGCAAACAGGCGTTTGTTTAATCATTTTAAGATTGGCTTTAATCAATGTTTGAAAATGAATTCTTCATATGATAAATGAGAGGTAACATTTTATTTATTTCCACATATTTCTCTCCATTCTTCCTTCTGCCAACGGTGTCGCAGTTTCTCGTCTCTCCCGTTGTTGTGCTTAGTGCGTACGCATGGGTTAGAGTTTGCGTGGAGGACCGCACATTTTCCCGTCAAGTTAGTATTTTATAAATCGCAAACATTGCGTAGAAACTGGCGTACGCCATTTTTTGAGCGTATATCCCTTTATAAATGAGGCCCCTGAGCACGTCTCCCCTCTCCTGCAGGGGGGCGTGGTCAGCAGAATCAGACCCGTAGACAGCAAACAACACATAGAGCGAAATGAGGCATGGCTAAAATGCATGATCTGGTATTTCGAAAACAGAAACCTATAAATATACCTTATATAGGTATGGCCCTACAATATATCATTTAAATATAGCATGATAGGTTTCCTTTAATGTGTCTGGGTGTATTTTACACACGTTCCTTGTTTATCAGGCTTTTTCCCCCGACAACACAAATGCATCTATGCTTTTGTGTTGTCATGCTGTTCTACTGTTGGTAACGGCTGCATTTGTTCAATTATCACAATATGTTGAGAGCTCGGTGTGATGGGGTGTCATTTCCTATTTTGCAATCAATGCGCAACTTCTTTAATGTGTTGGTAGTGACTGACTCTGTGGAGGCAGTGCAATACATCTTGCACATCAGATGCATATGACATATTGTGCATGTCTGTGGCCGACGCCGTAGTGCATAGCGTACGTGTGTTTACACCATGGTTTACACCCGCTCCTGCTGGCTGTAGTAGAGTGAGCCACGCTCACGGACAGCACATGAGTAGGCAGGGCCGTGAGTGCCCGTGTGGCCGACCAATCAGCGGCTAGTAGAGCAATCACTGGCTGGAAAGCTCAGCCAATAGCGATCGACACTGCCGGGCCGTCAGCCAATAGAATGCGCGCAAAGCGTGGGCACGTGGATCTGGGCACATGTTGACGCTCGTAAACTGCCGAGAGAAAGAGCCAGCAAAGACACAAACTGAAGAGCAGCCGACCGGGCGGTGTGTGTGCGTGTTGTGTGTGTGTGTGTGAGAGAGAGAGAGAGAGAGAGAGAGAGAGAGAGAGAGAGAGAGGAGAGAGCTGAGGCTGGATGCCCCGATGCTGCTCCAGCCACGGAGTGTGTATTGACGGATCTGTTGTTTCAAAGCCGGAGATAGAGCTGTTTACTGTAGTTTTTGACAGCGGCTGTTTTATCTCACATTGCTGAAGGTGAGTAGCTCCTCGGACTGTATCTTTTTTTGTTTTACGGCTGAGTTGGTTGGCTAGCCTAAAGGAATTTCCTGCCCGGCTGTGTCCTGTATGCGCTCCTGGTACAATTTGTCAAAAATAGCCAAAAGCAGTTCTTTCTCACGTGGATTTGTTCCATGCATTTCTTTAATAAAAGATCCTTACTATGTCATTAGGGCTTTAATGTTGCCATAACATTATAATACAACATCTCTTATATAATTGATACATTTCTTGGCATGTCATCCCGGTTTATTTCTGATATTTTATATGCTTCATAATAAATGTACGGAACATTTCGTATCATGATATTTTAGTTTATGTTGGTGGTGCGCAGCCAACACCTGAGACGCAGCCTCATGGTCTGTACCTGTGCAGACAAATGCACCATCACTCCCACCACACCCCCCTCTATACTCACAGCACCATACCATCCACTATAGGCGTACAACTAACACATAGGGCGTGGAACATTTTTGAAATAAAATTGAAATATAGCTTACTTCCACTATTTGTTTCAGTTGACTCTTTAAACAACGTGACATTTGGTTTTAAGAGGAAGCAGGTGGTTTAAAAGGAAGCCAACCATCAGATGCAAATAAAACGTGAATGACATTTTGTTGTAGTCTTGTATAGAATTGTCTATATACCTGATATTGGGACATGTTGTGGGTTAGTTAATGCACCTTTCATCAGATACAATCACAAACGTAAATATCTCTTAGTCCCCTTTGTCTGGGAGCGAGTTTAGTTTTATTTCTCAAATTGATGAAATCTGTGTTAGTGTGTATATTATTGGTTTTGACATCTCTAATTTCCCCCTCTATGTTGGTGGGATGAAAGACCAGCAAGCACTCAAATTTTAGACAGAGAGTGGAAAGAAAGCGAAATATAGATGAGAGAGAGAGCGAGGCACATGGCCAGAGATACAGAATGTAAAATGTGAGTAGGAGAGGAAGAGGAGGAGGAAGAGGAGGGGGGCTGGTCTGTGGAAGAGGAAAGGAAGAGGAGCACCAGGCTTGTGTGCATAACGAACAGAATGAGCTGAAGGGAGAGCAGAGATGAGAGGCATACAGAAATACAGCCGTAGAGGAAGAGGTTTGTGTGTGTGTGTGAATCCAAGGGGGGATGGAGAGCAAGCCTGAGACAGAGAGGAGGGGCGAGAGAGAGCACCGGAGGCAGTGGGAGAGAGAGAGAGAGAGAGAGAGTGCCTATTCTGATTTCACTACTTTACACCCCCATCCCCCTCACAGTTTACTCTGCTCTCCAGTCTCCAATCTCTTCAATGGGAGCCAGACATGCACTACCATTGTGTGCCTACTGCCTACCCCCAGCCCCTCTCTGCAGTCTGCACCATGTTTAAACTAGGGCACCAGGATACCCACCATTTTGGGTAATTATTTTTGGTAGCGAGATAGGGGAGAGTATAAAAAAAGATGATCCTATGATCTTGTTTCCCTGCCTTTTACTTCTTCTCGGTCTCCATGTGCCCTGCCCCTCTCTCTACTAACAACTTGCTCAGTGTCCAGCTAAGCCTTTTTTGTGTCTTCTCTAAGCCTAATTGAGTGTTATGATAACCCTCTGCCCCAACAGCAATGCAGTCCCAGGGCAAGACTTCCTCTCAGCCCTCCATCGATTCCCTGAGCTCCGGAGACAGCCTCCTGTGCAGCGACTCGGAGCAGGCCGAGGACGAAAGCGACGTCTTCCTGACGAATGGCTCTCCTGTCATCATCGGTGGCGTGGGCGGGGCTAAGGCCAATGGAGACAGAGGGTCGGAGTGTCCCAGGTCCCAGTGGACGTGTGATGGCTCTACAGATAAAGAGGAAGAGGAGGAGTTGTACAAGTCGGAAAAAGGCGGCAAGGCAGCTCGCATCAGATTGGACCAGACAGATCCTTCAAAACAGAATCCAAAGTCACAGGGAGACCTGCTGTTTGCTCAAAAGGTAAGTGACTGATGAGAAGAGGGATGACAGAACAATGTGTGCACAGGAAAGACTGATTCAGACAGCAAGGACTGACTCAAACCCGGTAGTAATCCATCTTCTCTTCTGCTTCCTGTCAGTGTGCTGAGCTACAGGGTTTTGTCAGGCCCCTGCTGGAGCTGCTGAATGGACTGAAGAGGGGTCGATTCGATCAAGGTAAGCATCCTTACATCACTGCTTTCAGTCAAGCATGTGTGCAGCCTGGAGCTAGGGTTGTAGATGCTGAACATGGGTTTATGTGGCCTCAGACCATCCAATGGAGAGTGTTCTTTTGTACAGCATTCTGTATTGACCCAGCCTATTGAAAGTGCAGCGTGTGTGAAGCGACAGTCTTGTGGCTGACTCATCAGCTCACGAGAGTTTACTGATATCACAAGTGAAAGTGTATGTGATATACTGTGTGTCTTCACATGCATGCATTTTTTGCGACTATGGGGTCTTGCATTGCAAATACCTAATGTGGGATTATGTTTGTGATTGACAGGTTTAACTACTTTCCAGCAGAGCGTCGCTATGGATCGTATCCAGAGGATTGTGGGTGTTTTACAGAAACCCCACAGCGGGTAAGATGCTTTCCACTATGTCCCACTATCCAACCTCAGTGTTAAGAACTATCTGCTACTTATTGTAATCTTGCCTCTGCATCACTAGGCACTACATCAAAGTTGGATTGTAGCATGTTAATGATAATCAAATTAAAGTTATAACAAGAAGTTTACTGTGAGGTAGTCCTGCATTTCAGGCCTCATCCTGGTCAATATTTTATTGAACAGTTATCGGGATGGGTAGTTACAGCATTCACTGGCAGTGCAGAGAAACACCAAACCTTTAGAAATAATGTATCTAGATGTATATGCAGGACTGTAAAAGACCAGATGTTTTCCTATGCTTTAACTCAATAGCATTGCCATCTGTTCCTCACTGTCGTCTTTTTGTTTTTTTACTTGTCCTGTGTTTTGCAGGGAGAAGTACCTGAACACTCTGCTCCAGGTTGAGGTGATGCTGAAGATTTGGTTTCCGCAGATCCACACTCAGCCTGTCTCTGCAGGCTCCAGCGTCGCAGCGTCACCCGCTCGCTTCCCCCAGGAACCTCCCCCCGTCACCCCGCCGCACAAGTACAGGGATCAGTCACACATTCCCGTCAAGGTGAGAACACACACATTCCTGGATGTGCAAGAGCCTACTTGTGCACACGCATAAACCTCCCTCTCTCACACCACCACAAATTAAATTATATATTCACTTGCAAACTACTTTCATGCTCATTTTTCAGAAGCGCAGACTCAGCTGGACGGGGACGGACTCCCCCACCCCTTCCCCGGTGCTTTTCAAGTGCTCTCGAAACAGTGTGGAAGAGAAGAAGGTGAATCAAGAGTGTGATGAAAGGAAGAGCCCTCTTTCTTCGTCATTGGCACCTGATGCAAACCCAGACTCACCAGTGGCGGGTAAGGACCAGCTAATTGGGGACACAAAGGGAAAGGACAGTGACAGAGAGGAACTAGGCAAACAATTCAAATACAAAGCAGGGCAAAACTCAGAGCCAAGCCTGACGTGGGTCCACGTTGCCCCCATCCTTTCCCCCCGAAAGCCCTGCGCTTCACATGAGGGCACAACAGTGGGAGGAAACAATGAAAACAAGCCCGTAAACGCCGTCCTACTCCCGCCCAGGAGGAGGGGCCGACCAGCCACACAAGACAGATCCGTCACTTCTTCCTCTGTCGCCAACCCCAAAAATCTGAGTAAGCTGAGCCAGCCTGTCACTGGGCAACAGAGTGGGAGTGATACAGCTGAGACATGTCAGGGTCAAAGTGCGGCTCCTCAGGTCACGCTCACTCCTTTGCCCGAGGTGTGCCCCACCCCCTTAAAGACCTGAAGAAGATTTTCACACTACCGGGCTAAAAGCTGCTGTGTGAGGAAGAGGAGAAGAGGATGAAGGTGATTATAGATGCGTTAAAGGGAGGAAGGGGAGGAAAGAATTATCGGTGATAAATGTTGATGTTTGATCATACATAAAACCTCGTCAAAACCTCCATTGAAACTAGTATCTCAAACAACAAGACAAAATGTGTTTATGAGGAATCAGATCTAGTAGAGTTGATAATCATAACTACGTTATAATATTAACATTTGCACAAAAATAGTTGTGGTTGAGGCGGATAGGAAAGAACATCTAAAGCCCAACGGCTATTAGCATCTTATTGAGTGATAATCCAAAGGAGAGATTTGAAGAATTTTAAGGAGCAGTTTCTCCTCAGCTTACAAGCAATCACTTTACTTAAAGATGACTGACAGATGCACACACTTTATCCAAAATGTTATGATGTCAATTTTCTGAATGAGAGCTTCCAAGGTTATTGTGATGAGGTAACTTTAATCCAGAGTGAGTGACACAGGGTGAGCTGAATCTGAAGCTAGTCACATTTGACGTTACATTCACATGTGCGTTATACTGTACATGTGGTGGGTGAGAGTCTTTGGAAACTGGAAAAAATGACTTCATCAATTCATGAATGTAATCCTAGAAATGTCTGGGCGCATAGCATGGAGAGGTGTGTCATCACAGCGATCAGAGCTCAACTTTTCTTGACAAGCTGTTGATCAGAAGTTTCTTCCCGGTCCTCGACTGCAAACTGAGTCATGTCATAAAACTCCAAGAAAGACTTTCAAATACCAGCCAGAGGAAAAAACAAGGACCACTCAAAGACATGCGAGTCCCACAGTTAATTTATTCCGGTGTTGATCAGACACTGCATTTATTTATTGTTTGTGTTTATTTATTGGGCAGCTGATATCGCCTGCTGTGCTCATGCACAAGTTGGCTTACAATTGTATTGAGTGGATTGGGAAGATGCTGTTGAAAGTTGTTTTTTTGCTATCATAACGAGAGAAAAAACTTGAAACGTTTTGATTGGACTACAGTGCCTTTTTACCAAATAGGATGTGTTCAGAAAAGCATTTGGTGCTTTTTCAGTGCATTCATACTGCATTTTGATTGTTTGCTTGTATTTCACAAAACCAGGACAAATTAAATCCTGAAAGCCAACATGTAGTCATTTTCATCTTGCTTCCAAATGTACACACAGCATCCAGACCTACAGTATCATCAACTATATACAAAACCGGAGTCTAAAACTCCATTCACAGTTACACTAACTGCCTACATCTTCAACCTTTATACACACACACTAACTGTGGTGTGCTGATATTTGTAGTATTATTAAGTGTAGCCTTCCTTCGGTGCTTTTCTTTGGGTGCTCTTGAGAAACTTGAAAAAATACAGAGAAATTCTAAATGTAAGAGAGGAACTCTTTATCCTCTACTGCTGCTATTGTTATTTCGGATTCCATTAACGGATGTTCGATAGGAGACATCTGGAAATCGCTATCAATATTCTTCTCAAAGTAGGAGGGGATTAAGCGATGTGATTGGATTTACCTATATTGCAAAAGTATTGTAAATATTTAGAAAACAATTTTTTTAAGTGGTACGAGTGCTTCATACACTATTTACATAAACAGAGAGGTTGGAAATCCGTGTACCTTTCTCTTCCCTAAAAGTGAACACGTGATCACAGAGCCACTGGCAGCCTCCATTTTCCTGCCAATGTTTGTGGAGTTAGGAGTGTACCCTCACAGACCCAGAGTCAGCGACTAACCCCATCCCGCCTGCAAACGTGACGGTACGATGTGCCAGACGCTGACCCTCGATCCGAGGCGGGGGGTGTCCTCCTCCCCACTCCTGTTTTTATACGGTTGTGGTATGACAGAGAAACCAATTGCACTTATTTTACATTGTTTGTGTCCTATTTCATGTATGTTTTCTACTGCAGCGACCACTGCTGATTGGTCAGAAATAATATGTCTTGTTTATTTTAGCTGCCTTCGTTCTTCCTAAACTGTAAAAGCTGACCGTAGTTCCCTCCCCTCCCCTCCCCTCCCCCACTCTGCTGCATTCGTCTGCCCTTGCCCTCTCTCCTTCATCTCCCTCAATCCTGTTAGTATATTTTCTTTCTTAACTAAACCCTGTCTTTATCTCTTCCCATCTTTACATGCTATTACTCTTCTGGCTACTTTTTCAATAATGATGAACAGGAACAACTCTTTTAATAAATTACACATTTTGGAAATCTGAACTGTCTGTCATTTTGTGCCTATTTTGTGAACTTTTATACATTTTATTTGTGTATTTTCTATTTTTGATGTATTATGTGAGTGAGACTCATATTTGGGAACGCAGCTCTCACTAAACAGATGTGTGGCACAGTGGGGGGGCAGATTTACAGACTGTAGATTTTGGAGTGAGGGAGGGCAGGGGGTGATGAGGGGAAGGAGAGGGTAGTGAAAAGGAGGGGCGGCATGGTGTGAGACTACAGCCTCTGTAATCTGACTGGCACTAATGGGGGGGTTCTGGCTGATCCTCCGACCAGCTGCTTCCCCACCGATGTAGGTTATATGTGTGTTGTTTATTCCATGATATCACAATGAGTAAATACCTCCTGGTAGCAGAGAAGAGCCTGGCACGGTGGAGTCTGCGGTGCATTCCTGATACAGTCTGATCTCTGGACCCCGGCCTGGTGTTTTTAGGCTTCTAAAATAAAAGTAAAAAATGAACCTCACCCATCACTCCCAAAAGTGCCCTGTGCTGCCGTGACATCTGTGTTGCCAGGGATACATTTTCTATACAAACACAATATTATGTCTTTGAATGCTGCTGTTAACTCAAACACACACTGGGTGCCAGTAAATGTAATATTGTGTAAAACCCATTCATTTTTTCACTTAAATATACTATAGGTTATTGGTGAACATCAGTAAAGCTGTCAACACAACGTTGTGACTATTGGTGAAAATGTAATCATTCATGAGAAACTATTTTGACAATTAACTAATTGTTTCAGTTATTTAGTGAAGCAAACAATCAAATATTCTCTGGTTAAAGCTTCACGGATGAAGGATTTGCTGCTTTTTTCTCTTATTGATATATTTGTAAACTGCGTGACTGGGATTTGGATTATGGTCTGAAAAAACAACAATATGGACTAATTATCTGGCTTTTTATATAGCAAAACATTTATATTTTAAAATAGAAACTCTGGTGTCATATGTGTAATCACATATTAAATATGATTCACATTCCTGAATTAAAGACAGGAGACATTCACCATTTTCTTTCCACCTCAGCATCACATCCATGGATACAGCGTGCACATGGGCACGAGAGTGGCACATTTTAGGAGGGTGTGGTTTGATTTCTCTCTGCTCATAGGGGATGAAGTCAGCCAAGCCGCATACACACTCATACACACATTTACACACTCACACACAAAAACATGCCCATAGCCAGAATCGTAAACACGCGATTGTGCCACTCCCCTCCGCACGCTCTGACACAGTGACTGGCTGATTTTGTGATGGGCCTGTCTCTGACACACTGACTGCTACGCTACAACAACAGAGTGCCCTCCCTCCACCCCTCCACCCCCCTGCCTCCCTCCCTTCCAGCCCCCCCTTGTATCCATGCAGTTTTTAGCAGAGAAGCCCTTGCCCTCCATCTCCCCCCTCTACTACTTCTCTCTTCCTCCTCTGTAGGATGGAAATGAGGAGCAAGAGGAAAAGGACGGGGAGAGGATGAGTGGAGGGCACAGGGAGGAGACACGACCTCACTCCTTTTTGGGGAGCATGAAGGACATTTGTTGTTTTTCCCACTAAATAATAATCCTAATTTTTAGTAGCTTGACTCACTTGTTTTCACTGTTTTTCATTTTTCCTTCTACAATTTTGTTTGAAAACATATTTTATCTTCCTACTAAAAAACAAAACAAATTGATCATGCTGTGTTTGTCTATATTACACCACCAGTATGCAGAGTAGACACCATCCATTCAATTTGTTATTGAGTCATAAATGTCTTTGGCTGTTTTCACTTCTGTGAGTATCCTGCCAGCATGTGTTGGATTAGCTGAGCGTGTGTGTGCGACTGTGCGTGCATCAATAGGATTGCACATAATGAACTTACTGCCCCTTTTATCCCTCGCTCTGTTAGTTTTAATTGTGGTTCCAAGTCCTCTTATTGGTTTTAACAACTTAATGATTTAAGGGTGTCTGTGCTGTTTCGCTGCATGTGAAATGTACGTTACGACGGGATTGACACAATGAGGTGCTTATTTACTTGTCGGAGCTCCCCTCCTCCACATTACACTCACTGAACTCCAGTCAAACTCACGTGAGGGGAAGCCACGCTGTGACTTTACTACTACACAGTCGTGTACCAGCAAAGGCTCACACACTTGCTCTTACTCACCCAAAGTCCTGGGGGGTTTAAGTGCTGGCTAGTCCCAAAACCGCCCTGATCCTCATTAAAATTGCACAGTGGCCAGCCCTGGGATGGAAATCTGAGCTTCATGGAAGTCATATCTGCCTCGCTGGAGCTCACGGCGATCACAGGCCTTGAGGTGTGGGGTTAAAGATGCTGCTCTGCCCCCTGTGGACCCCATCACTGTGAGGCGACACGATAAAAACAAGAGATAACAGGACGACATTCTCAAGGACGCACGTGTATCTCATGACATTGTGTGTGATATTTGGGGCACAGCCGAGCTACAGGCAAATAACATCCTCATCATTTTCTTTGCCCTGAATGTGTTCAAGGGAGCCTGCTCGTGGTGACGCCATCTTACACGACTGCTCAATTATTCAAGTGCAGTGAGTGAAAGGGAATCACCAGATAGAATATACTGAGGAGAGAAAAAAAGATGCATAAAGTAGGAATATTTGGCAAATAAGTGAGAGATAAAAGCTTACACTCTTATGACTTGGGATTCAATGCAAGCACGTGCACTCACACTGATACTATGGCTGCTCAATTCATCGTATTTTAAATCACAATTACGATTATGGCTTGCAACGATTACGAAAACAACGTAATCGAAATAAAACGATTATTTTTTTATTATTATTATTATTACTTTTTTTTTATTATTGGTTTTTCAGTTGAATTATACTTAAGGTTCAGGGTAATCAACTGTTAAAAACATACTGTTCAAAAATTCTCCAATAGATTGATGTTTTCAAAGTAAATGGATAATCGTTTTTAATAATCGTGATATCAATTATTGACTCAAATAATCGAGATTATGATTTTTGCCATAATCGAGCAGCCCTAACTGATACTCACTCTGAGGTCCTTCCTCTCGGCCCATGTGTGAAGTAAAGACAGCAGATTCCCCTGAGATTATACCTTCCAAGATGATTTACAGCCCCTGTCAGATACAATAAAATAAAACTGGGTCAGCATGATGAAATATACCATAACAACATTTGATGATTCAAAAACCTGTCTGATGAAACAGAAGGAATATCTTACTTAAAATATGCACTTATGTAATATTCATAGTGTGGCAATAATGAACATCCAACTGACATACCATGTTGATTTTGCACATTTAGGATTAAATTGTTCACCATATAAAAGGGAAAATGTGGCCATATGGGACTTGAAAAACATGCAGGCTAAATGGCATTCCAGTAATATATGAATATATTAAAATTATAATAGATTCATTCATACAGCTATCTCCACATGATACTGTAACACTTCAGCTGCACAGACAAATGGATAGCACTGCCTGTGTGTGTGTGTGTGTGTGTGTGTGTGTGTGTGTGTGTGTGTGTTTTGTTGTTGCTGTGTGTACTTATATAGAAATATCTGTGGCATTGATATAATATGGGCTGAGGTGTTGTTAAATAATACAGTTGGCTGGAGAGAGAGGGGCAGACAGTAGCTCAGTGTGTACATGTGAGTAAAGGTGTTGTTTACTGGCTCGCTGACTGTTTGACCACAACCAGATTAAGGATTAACCAGGTTTAACTATAGGTTCTTGTTGTTTTACAAAAATGAAGGTCATAATTGGAGCGAGCATTTCCCAATTGAAAGACAAGCTCTATATAGTTGCAATTGCTGTCTCAAAGAGTGCTGAAATTATAATCAATTTGATATTGATCAATATTGGTTCTGGTTTTTAATACATAAAGATTTGCTGTAATTCTAAATGTAACATCATTGTAAATTGCATGCAAGATAAAATTCAATCTGAAGACAATTAACTTATTACTCACATTATTAAGTATTACTACCAATTACTCGACTTGGGTAGAACCAACAATTCAAAGCCCCCCACAAATATCAAATTAATGGTCATAGTAATAAAGAAAAGTAGCAATTAGTCACATTTGAGACGTTTTAATCAGTTTAGCTTAAAAAGATACACTTCATCAATGATCAAATATATCGTTGATGAATCTCCTCTCTATTGACCTCCTATCTTCTTTGACCATAAACCTTAGTCTGATTCCCTATTTAGGTTTTTGTTAGCACACACAGCTGAAAGGTCACAGAGTTAACTGGGTCCAAAGTTGTGTTTCTATACACAGAGGGGCCTATGGTGGTATAAAGCTCATATTTCAGCATTGAGAAAAAGAGTTTCACAAATGTCCTCCTAGTTTTCTGTGAAACTCAAGTAGGGTTTCTTTTTAGCCACCATATATCATCTCATGTACGAAATTGGCTGACCTCTTCAAACTGAGTAAAAGCTCAAACTGGTTATTCACAGAGGCTGGTGTAGCCTCAGGCATACTGCAGTAGTGCTCAAACTACTACCAATGCACTCAGTTGACCCACATCATGCAAAGATAGAAAAAATGAGGGGGTGGGCCTACAGAGTAAGAAAAACATAGATCACCTGATAATGGGATAATGTTTTTAAAAGGGTGTTTCCATGACTAGTCTGTGATTAGTTTGGCAACAACTAGGCAATGTTTCACTATATTGACTGATAAAAAGGAGATTATGGATATGTTTTATTTGATTGTAAACAAAGACTCGAATCATAACCTTAGTGGAGGCAGTTGGAAATGTAAAGTACTCAAACCCATATTGTTTGCTTTAGTTTATCCTGTATTTTCCAGTTAATAGGCTATTGAATGCATTTAATCAACTTTGTGAAACAAACCAAATCACAACTCTGACAACCTTAGCATTACAATTATAATTAGACCTGGTTAATAGTTGCAACCAACAATAGTTATTACAAATGATTATACTTAAATATCA